TAGGAAACATTTGGTTTCTAGGCCATGATAGTGTCTATTTTAAAAATCAAGCTGCATGTGTTTCCTTATTTCATAATCAGATAATTTTAATTTCAAAACTAGAATTTAAAATCTTCAGACTTTTTTTCTACAAAACAAAAACTACTTGTTTTGTAGACAGAATAGGGAATTTTTCTGGGGAAAGTAATGGCAAAGAAATTCTTTTGAACTATGAGTTGGTAGTCAGCAGGGTACTATACTAAGTTCTTTGAACTTGGCTGCTCATTTAAGCAGCCTTTATGGAAAGGCTTTATATTTCATTAGTGAGGCAAATGTTGTTGTTGTTATGTGCCATCGAGTCAGACTCAGACTCATAGTGACCCCTCCTTGGTTACCGAGGTGGTATCACTATAAAGAAGATTGCCCAACCTTCCTTCCGAGGAATGGCTGGTTGGTTGAACTACCAGCCTTCTGGTTAGCAGTCAAGTGCCTTAGGCACTATGCTACCAGAGCTCCTGAGGCAAATATTAGGTGTCCCAAAATTCCCACTGGTTATGGAGTGCTTGAGATTTTGTTCTTCGCAGGCCCTGTGGCTGAAACCTATGTCTGTAAATGGCTTTGCTCCTTTAACCCAGTATGACAACAAAATATTACCGTTTTCTACATCTCACACAAAGTGAACAAGGTTGAGAAGTCTTGTATATAAAGCACTCCGATTTCATTAGAAAAGTTTGGGCCAGTCATTAGCAATGACCAAGACATGATATGGGAAGTCCAACCTTGTTTTAGACAACATGAGTATAGAGTACGTGGAAGTTCTCCCAGTGGTCTGTGCCATGGACTAGTGGCCTGAAAGGATCTTGAATGCCCTTATAGATAAGGACTTTGGAATCTGCAAGTATAATGGAAAGCCTTTGGATAGTTTTAAACAGGGGAGTGACATCATTTGCTCTAAAATTTTAAAATGTTACTCTGTCTGATATGTAGAAAATAAAATTTAAAAGAGCAAGACCAATTTCAAGTAGCAAGAGGCTATTGTAATTGCCCTGGCAGGGATGATGATGGTTTGGGTTGTTAGTATAAAGGATGGTGAAATGCAGATGGATTAAGGATTTATTTTAGAGATGGAGTCAGGTAGATTTGCTAGTAGATTGGAAGTAAAGCAAAGTAAACAGAAGATGGAATCAAGAGTGATGACTTCTTAGGGACCTAAGCAACTAAGTACGTTCTTTACTCAGATAGGGAAAGACGTAGGAAGGATAGTTTAGGTTTATAGGAGGTAGGGTTGGAAAGGGGAGAGCTGAAAGTTAGGAATTCTGTTTTGGATATGTTGGACTTTAGATACCTATTGGATTTGTATACGTAGAGGTCAGGGAGGGGGTAGAGAATGAGTGAACCAACACTATAGACTACAAATTTCTGTTTTACAATAAACTTCCTTTAAGCATAATGATAATTGGCAAACTGCCAATAATAAGCTGTTAATTTCTAGATCCTCTTCACAAAGAACTAGTGAAAACATATTAGCTATATTTGTCAAAGTAGAGAGCTCTATCAAGTGAAATTTGAATGTCTTCTGTTGACCACATTCTACTAATTTTCTATGTACAACATTTTCTATATTCTGTGACTGAATTGTCACTTTGTTAAATGAGGACTCATGACTATTTGTAGAAAATGACCAGTTTTTTTTTTTTTTTTTTTTAATACATGTGATTGCTCAATGTTCACTTATGTACTTGGTCGTATTTAATACACTCTCTGCTAAATACATGACATTAGACATTTCTTTCAGTTTGTAGAGCCCTGTAGGTTTCTGCCTACTTCCGTATGACTGATTGTTTTTGCTCACCTGCCTTCGTCTTCTGGATGAGAATGGGGGTGAAATCTACTTTCTTTCCTTTTGGTGAGGCAAATAACTGTGATCGTGATTTTTGTGGAATATTGGCAGAAATCTGGACACTAGGACTCTGTCCCTGTTACACTACTGAACAGCTCAAGGATTCATTCTTTAACATATGGGTCTAGTATTCTTGTTTTGCTGCCATTAACAAAGGACATTTTTTTCTGTTACAATTTTTTGAAAAAATATTTCTACTTTACCTTTCTTAAGAGATCCATTTTTATAATGCAATTACATTTTCTGAAGAATTGAGATAATTGTGAGGGGAGGGGGCAGAGAGAGTTGAAATATTTAAAAACGCCTTTTGTTCTAACCTTGATATATGCAGGGATTTTTTATAGTTTTTATTTAAATATGCTAGTTTTGATGCCAGTGAACATTAGTGTGATTTTCCAGTCAAGATTTTTTACTCCGAAGTGTCCCAGGTAGGATCTGGCATATTAATCATATATCTAAAATGGAAATTCATGGAAGTATGTGTGCATGCTAGGGGGCTTATTTGTTTCTGGCAAAGACATTGCTGCTCCTGTTTCCTTAATTATTAAACAGATGGTGCCCACTGCCACTGACTAGCTGCCCAACTTGTTCTCCATGTGGTAGCACAGTTCTGGACGTCTGAAGGAGAGAAGCTCTACTGTCACAGCTCCTCATATCCATTTATGTCATAACATTAATATTAATACCTACCTCTAACTACAGCAGGCTGTTTCCTATGAAGCTGATTCTAAATCTAAGACAAGCCATCTCTTCTCCAGTCGCCCTCTCAATCCCCACCACCCCTACCAGGAATTAATTTTATCTCAAGGTATCTCCTTTTGGAAGGAACCCTGCTGGTGCAGTAGTTAAGTGCTCAGCTGCTAAACTGATGGCTGGAAGTTTTAACCCATCAATCGCTCCAGGGGAAAACGATGTGGCAGGTAGTCTGCTTCTGTAAAGATTTACAGCATTGGAAACCCTCAGGCCATTCTATTCTGTCCCATAGGAACAGGATGTGTTGGAAGCTGTAGAGGGTTATATCTCCTTTTGGGTTTTCTTTATGTTGTTTCATCTCTACACACAAAATACAGTGGCTCATTGAAGGACTTCTATCCAAATACTCTAGCTTATAAACACATTTTAACCTGAAATGTTATGATAATGAAGACAGAATTGGATAATTATTATTTGTTAGGACAAATGACATCTAAGGTAGTTGTGTATTTTAAAAGTGGAAAAAAGTAGATAGTCACATTCTTGTTCTACGTATGAAAAAGAAATTCACTCCCAGGGAACATTAATGGACGTTTTTAAAAAAGATTTTTTTTTAAAAAAAAAACAGATAATGAATTATTCTTCAAATCTGCCAGCAAAAAAGTTTGTTCTAAAATTTTCTCTTTATTTCTCCAACACTCCACTGATACAGCACATGAACAGTGTATCCTGTATTCATTAATAACTTGGATTCCCATTTTATTTTCCTCATAAGCTTTCTTCATTGAAGACAGAGCCATAGCCTGCCTTCTAAGAACTTTCCCAGCGCTAACCCACCTATTTTCACCTCTCCCTTGAGACAATCTTTTGTATTACTTTCATGACTGTGGTTTTAACTTTGTAAATTTTCTTAAATCTATAGTCACTTCATCCAACGTAATTACATCAACCGTTGACTAACACTCATAAACTGTATTTTTAAAAAGTTACAAACAAGATAAAAAAAAAAAAAAACGATGGCTCCCTCCCTTTTCTCATTAATAATGCTGTTGTGATCTAGATAATTTAGTGAGGTTTGGATCAACAGGAAGTACTTGGGTTCTCTTTTGAAAAGAGACCTTCCAGCAGGAGCATCCAAAACATTACAATGCCACTTAAAACTGCTTTGCTGTTGTATTTGACTGGAGAACCTATAAGCATCTTAGAATCACTCAGACAGTAGATGTGGCTGTCATTCTAATGACAGTAGGAAGTGTGTAGGCTCCCAGTCCCTGCCAGGTAGTCAAACACATTTTGTTTTCCTCTAAAATCCTACGAAGCTAGTTCGAGGGCTACCCGCAGACCCCCGCGACCCTAGGCTGCGGCGAGCTGGGCGTAGGACTGGCCGCGACCGCCCCTTGTCCAGTCTGCTCCTGGTGCGGGCCGCGCTCCGGGAAAAGGAGCAGTGGAGCTGAGAGCAGCGCCTCCTCCGGGGGAGGGGGCGGGAGCTCGACTGAGAGAGCTTTCCTAGGGAGTTGCCTTAAAGAAAGAAAGAAAGCGGAATTGTCGATCACGCCAGTGGCCTGCCCTTTTATTTAGTTTTAAGCAGTCAACTCCACTCTCTTTCCCTCTGTAAAACTGCAAATCACCACCAACCTTGCACCAAAAAGAAGTGTGTGTGTGTGGGGGGGAGCAAATCTCACTCTTTCTCACCCTCCCTTTTCCTTCACCCTCCCTTCCTCTTCAGTTCTCTCGCTTGCTCTCTTTCTCTCCCTCCCTCCAACCTTCTGCAGTATCCGCTCCGGCCTCGGACTGTGTCTCTTTCTAACCGGACTTGGCAACTTCTGGATTATTTCTCAGTCCCTTTTCTGACCTTTGCCATGAAGTGGACCTACAGACGCGGGGGAGGCTTTGCGTTCAGTCCTGGGGAATGGCGGCACGCGTCCTGGAGCCGCGCTGGGGAGGATCCGCGGAGGAGAAAGAAAGAGTGACAGAGAAAGAACTGCTGGAAGGAGAGACGGGGGACCTCCTTCTGCAGCGGGCCCGGCGCGCAGGAGCGCAGCGCCGAGCTGCGCCCGGGATGGCCCCCAGCTCTCCCAGCGCCCCCGACTCCTCCAGCGCCTGCGGCCACCATGCGCTGGATGCAGTGGACAATTTTTAATATCCTGAAGTAGGAAGAGACCGTAGAGGGCAAAAATTTGGGGTGGAGGTGGAGCAGAGAATTTTTAAAAAGCTTTACAAAGAGAGTACATGGGAGAGCCTGATTGTTTTAGCCTGTGCTAGCTTTTAACTTGAAGGAGTCTCTTTTGGAGCATCTAGTATTCTCCAGTAGTTATTCGAAAGCTGAAACTTTCAGTGACTGTCGCGGCTGGAGAGGAGGGATTCAGAGGGTGAGATTGGGAAGAGCGTGTGTGTGTGTGTGTGCGTGCGTATCGGGTTGGGGGCGTCGGGGAGTCCTTGGGGAGTCCGTGAAAAGGGCACACCATGGCAGTGCCCGGCGAGGCAGCCCGAGTCAGGGATAAGCCCGGCCGCAGTGGAGTGAATCAAGCCCCGGCGCCCGGCCCAGACTGCCACTGTTGTGTCGACCCCACGTCGCCGCGGGACTCTGGCTGCAGCCGCTGCTGGGGAGACCTGGTGTTGCAGCCGCTCCGGCGCTCCCGGAAACTTTCCTCGGCTCTGTGCGCCGGCTCTCTATCCTTTCTTTTGGCGCTGCTGGTGAGGTTGGTCCGCGGGGAAATCGGCTGTGACCTGGAGCCGAGTAGTGAGGTGGCGGTGGCAGAGGAAACGGCCCCGGGAGCAGAAGGGGGCGTCTTCCCAGGACCTCGGGGAGGTGCAACCGGGGGCGGTGCGCCGCTCAGCCCCTGGCTGCAGCCCTCGGTGCTGCTCTTCAGTCTCCTGTGTGCCTTCTTCTGGATGGGCTTGTACCTCCTGCGCGCCGGGGTGCGCCTGCCTCTGGCCGTTGCGCTGCTGGCAGCCTGCTGCGGGGGGGAAGCGCTTGTCCAGATTGGGCTGGGAGTCGGGGAGGATCACTTACTCTCGCTCCCCGCCGCGGGGGTGGTGCTCAGCTGTTTGGCTGCAGCGACATGGCTGGTGCTGAGGCTGAGGCTGGGCGTCCTCATGATCGCCTTGACTAGCGCGGTCAGGACCGTGTCCCTCATTTCCTTAGAGAGGTTCAAGGTCTCCTGGAGACCTTACCTGGCGTACTTGGCTGGCGTGCTGGGGATCCTCCTGGCCAGGTACGTGGAGCAAATCTTGCCGCAGTCGGCGGGGGCGGCTCCGAGGGAGCCTTTTGGGTCCCAGCTGATTGCTGGGACCAAGGAAGACACCCCAGTGGTTAAGAGGAGGAGGCGATCCAGCTCCGTGGTGTCCGCCGAGATGTCCGGCTGCAGCAGCAAGTCCCATCGGAGGACCTCCCTACCCTGCATACCGAGGGAACAGGTAAGCAGTGGCAGTTCCTCTCTAGCCTCTCGGGAAAACTTGAAACACTTGGAAATCCGCGCAGAGTGGAGGTAATCCAAGCGCTGGAAGCTAAAAGGAAGATAGCCTAGAAAAGTGGTGACACTTTAGACTTAGTAGGAAACTAGCGGGGTTTTCTTACCCTCTCACACAGTATTTTATAACCTGAACAACAGAAACAAGAATAAATAACAAACTAGATGGGATTTTCAGGCTCATTCACAGCTGGGCCAACTTTTTAGATCTGATACACCTGGTGTGTATGACTTCCCTGCACTTTAACTACTCTCACACTTTCCTCCTCCTATAGCAAAAGTTTTAGAAATAGGTTAAGGCTTTAGCAGTGGGTGATTTTCAGTTCGTGGATTCACTAGATTTCTTTTTCTTTTTATATATATTTTTTCTCATAAAGTGACAGGTAAACGTTTGTAAAAATCAGAAAAAAAAAAAAATTCTAGAGCAAAACAAGGCATCCTGGAGGTGAGGTATGAATATACACTTTTGAATTTTGCAGTAAGTCTTACTTGAAGATACCGTGTCTGATGATTTCCAGTTTGTTTTTAAATGTAATTTGGGAGCATATGTTATTACATGCTAGTGTGCTTGATATCATAATCCTTATTTCTGAACTTTAGAAGTTGTGAAAATCATGGGATCTATGCAATTAGTGGCAAATGAAAAAAAATGTCTTTGAGTATGTACATTCGTAAGTGGAGTTTTGGAAATTCAAATGCATTTATACAGGTGATTCAGGGTTGAGGAGAATATTTTTAAAATTGCTGGTGATGTATCTCTTTCAGAAAGGAGGAGGTTGTTGCTGTTCTTATGTGCCATCGAGTCGGAACCTGGAATTAAGTTGTTGTGAATGAAGTTTAGAAAAAAAAATAATAATAATTATATATATATATATATATATATATATATTTGGTGGGGGAGAATACCTTTATTATCATTAAGTGTTTTAAGATGATGGAATATGGTTGCTCTGCCCTCAACCAACCAAAACCTACTGCTGTTGTGTCCATTCCAACTAGTGGTGACCTTATAGGACAGAGTAGTGCTGCCCCATAGGGCTTCCAAGCTGTGAATCTTTATGAAAGTAGTCTGTCACATCTTTTTCCCACATAATTGCTATAGAGGCTATAAAAGAAATCCCAATTGTAAATACAAATTGTATCTGAAAGGCTAACAAGTGTTCACCTCTCCACAACATGAGCTAACTTGACACTTGATGAGAGTGGGTAGAGAGGTGGTTATGCAAAGCAAGTGGAAATTTACACATTTCCCTTTAAATTTATGCTTATCTCTCCTAAGATTTTGACAACTTTATGGAATAAAAGAACATTTTAAGATAATAGTAAGCCCTCCCCCCCCCATTTTATTCTGTAGAAAATCATTGAGGTATTTGTAAGGAATCACAATCACCATATGTTGTGGGTGGCTAGTTTGTTTCTGAAATGGACTTGATTACACAGATCTGTGGTTGTTTGACATTATTTAGCAGAATGGATGACAGCATCATAGGCTCTGTGTTTATTTTAAAACAAATATACTTATTTAGCTTTTGTTTGGATAAAACAAGTATTTCTTGGGTTTAAGCTTATTCCATGTGTGCAGGAGAAAACATGCCATTGACTGTGCTTACTTTTGGTAGAAATTTAGAAATCATCATAATAAAATATCTACTTAAGGGTCACAAGTTAAGGAGGAAATACATTTTAATTTCTTTTTATATTTACATGAATGTCTTTTAAATTAAAATAATTATAGTTTAAATGATTAGAACACATGCTTTAATTTATAGAGAAAGGTGATGTGTTTATTTCAAAATTGAACTATAATTTCTAAGGAAAAATTCTATTTCCATGATTTAATAATAAATAATTTGACTCTAAACTAATTTAATTTAGCCACTGAAATTAAATTTCTGATATTTCATATTGACATTTAGAAATTAAAGAATTAAGGATGGATTTAAGATTAAATGTTTATGTGAATTAACCTGCATTGTTAATTAACTCACAGATTTTTATTCATTGATTTTCTCTGGTTTGAATTAATAAATGGAGAATTTGAATAATCTATGAACTGCTATAAGAAAATAACTGAGCATTGCACTTTTTAAAATGTTTTGTGGTGATTAGTGGTGAAAATTCATAGTTGTATTTCGGTGAGTGTGTGTCACTTTAGTTTTATGTATGAGTCATTAAAGTTGTTGCGTGTAATTGTTGAGTTGCAGGGAACAGTGGGAACTAGGAAAATAGTATTTTATAGGATAGGATAATATACGTAAGGCTAACTGTGTGAAAAGTTCAGGAGTGACATAATAAATAGCTTATCTGTTTTATTAGAAGGAAACAAACTTTTGATTAAGGGTGCAAAGTGTACCATCGTCATCTGCATACTTTATGACATCAATAATCAAAATAATTATAAAACAAGTAAATAATGCTCCCTGAGTGCCAAGTGGCTATAAGTACTTTTCTGGGGAGGGGGGGTACATGTGAGAAAGTCTACTCTCATAAAGCACAGAGAGTCTGGCAAAGTCCTCTTGAGGTTCAATTTATCTGAACTTTGCTCATCATGTCCTTTAAAGGTGAGAGAATTTCAGTATTATGCATATGAATGGAAGTGGCCACTTGCTTATATACTCTTTGTCTTCAATGGTTCACAATTCTAAGGGGGCAAGGAGAATATATGATAAAATTCTCACAAGGCAAACTATCAGACTGTTTTGCTCTGCCCTTCCCCCTTTCCTTAAAAAAGAAAAAAAAAAAAAAAGGAGAAAAAAAAACCAAACAACCTACTGCCTTCAAGTCAAACCCCACTTATAGTGACCCCTCCTTGGGTTTCCAAGGCCTTATCACTACAGAAGTAGATTGCTCAACCTGACTTCTGAGGAGTGGCTGGTGGGTTTGAACCACCAGCCTTCTGATTAATACTCAAATGCCTTAGGCACTACGCTACCAGAGCTCCTTAGAGAATCATAATTAAGTCTACAGATTTAATATTGCGTATTTAAGTTTTCATTACAAGTGGTAAAGATGACTTCAAAGAAAGAAAGAAATAGGTGTAGTGTATTACAGAATCAATCAGATACTGGATGTATATAGAATGCAAGTGAAGATATCTTTACTCTCGATAAAGAACAAAGTTCACAACATCTGAGTGGCTGTTTGCTTAGTCCTGCCAGCTCAGTGTTCTCTGGCTAAGGATCATTTTGTGCATGAACATATCACTGCACTTTTTTGGTTGGTAATGTTAAGAAGGCAAGTGTCCATGAAGGTATATTGTGTCTTTTCTAAGTGAACATTCACATCTGAGAGGAATTATGTCTCCCTCAAGTTACCACTGTACTACCAAGCACTAGAATACACACACAGAACTACCTAGAATTTCTTGAATTATTAGATATTTTGCATGATATTAATGTTATTTTGCAAACAGAAAATTTTAACTAGAAACTTTTAACATTTTGTAATCATATTTGAGGAGATGTCTTTCTCTTCCCTTTACACAACAAAGAACACTGTTCTTTGAACCTCTAATTATTGTGACCTCTTTCTACATTCATTTTTGAATGATTCCAAACTTTAGTTACATGTTTTAATCAATATCTTGTGTATAGTTTCACATAAAATAATTAGAAAGCATAGGTCCTGCTCCATTAATGTATTTGTTGGCACTTAATGAGGAAACTTTTTGTGATGGATACAGTATCAGTTAAAAATATGCAAATACATGTTTTACATTATGTAATTTTAAAAGTAAAATTATTCCCCATGAATATTTCCCTAAGCACTCAATTAAAACTCTTTAACAAAGAATGGAGGCATTTTTATAGGAATTTAATATAATCTGGAGACTGGTTATCAAAATTAGAATCAAGTTTTCATCACTGATGTCAGAAAGATAAGTTCAAGCAAAATACAAACAAACAAAACAACAATGACAACAAAAAACAATGACAATAAAACAGAAATAGGAGCAGTGAGTATGGTCTTTTATGATAGACATGGGATGTGACTTTGTAATATGTTTGATAAAAATTATAGCTTGCTTGCTAATGTAGTACAGATACAAAATACAGAAGTATAGAAATATAGACTGTATTATTGTTTAAACTCTTATGTATGTTTCAATATAACGTATTTCTCAAATGAGTACATTTTAGAAACAAACATGGTTGTTTAAACTAACTTCTATCACAGCTCAGTAGTATTACTCAGTTTATAGTGATACAGACAGCAATATTGATTATTTATGGTGTGGTGACAGAATTAAAATTAATTAATGTCAGCTTATGAAAATACTAAAATAGGAAAAACAAGATTTTTGTATCCCTTGGGAAAGGTGAGGCAATGAATACATACATACATACATATATATGTATATATATACATATGTGAAGATACATTTTTGGTGGGGACAAAATTGGGATTTTACTTTGTGAATACAAATATTTAATGCATAGTGAAAAACTGTTTTAACTGACAGAAATAGTCAGTGAATCTATATAAATTTATAGAGGTTGGAGGAGTCAAAACAGTAATCTTATTCTTTCTGTATTGAGTCTAAAGTGTAAAAAGTTAAAACTGAAGAACTGAAAGAAATGCTGTGTATGCTGGGCTGTCATGTTAATTAAATAAACAACCAGAACAGTGACTCTGTGTATGAAATACATTTTGAAAAGCCTTGGGGGGAGGGGGTGCAGGCAGGCAAGGGTGAGTGACACTGGCATGAAAAAACATTCATTATGTCTGTAGTGACATTTGTGTGAATTTGTTGTACTCCATTAGGAATTATAGCTCCAAAAATGCTCCCTTTAAGACTGTAGCTGAATAAAAGCTTTACAAAATTTAAGTCTGCTTCTAAATTAAATAATATAATTTCTCATTTATTATATTGGGGTAGTGTATTTATAAACCTCAAAATTGGAAATATTCCTATATATAATACATTGAGTTTCAATTAACATGGTT